GACTTGAAATGAATATGAGTACTAAATTAACTTGAAACATGGATTTTTGTTTAAAAAGTTAGACTTGGTCTCGGCGGGCGCACCGTGCGCCGCCGACGGCGATAAGCCGTTTCTCAACCGATCACGATCTTCTCTTGGCAATTCATACTTGACTGAACATGACATGACATTTAATGAATAAATGGACTTGAAAAGCTCGATAGTTTATTTCTTAACATAATCCAACACTATGTTCGGCCCGTGGGCGCGCGACGTGCGAGACCACGCCTCTCGGCCGAACTTCCAAACAACATGAACATAAATCGAGCGACACAACATAACTGAACATGATATCACATAATTTAGCTAAACAGGATCTGTTTGCCCGAAGGATTTCTGAAGTAAAACATGATGGCTCGGCATGAATTATAGGCAAAATTTCAAAAATGGTCCATTATGTTGGCTATTTTCTGAAAAAGGTCCATCATATAGGGTATCATCAATAATGGTCCACTAAATTGTCACTTTTAATCAAAACTCGTACAAATGCCAACATAGTGGACTAAAAGTGATAATCAATTTTAGTCCACTATGTTGGCATTTGTACGAGTTTTGATTAAAAGTGACAATATAGTGGACCATTATTGATGACACCCTATATGATGGACCTTTTTCGGAAAATGGTCAACATAGTGGACTAAAAATGAAATTTAGCCTGAATTATACACACGACCGTGCGGCTTAAAGCCATTACATGAGCGTGACTTCAACAAAACAAAACTAACTTATCATTAACATAATCAATTTAAAGGTAAGCTTCAATTACCTTCACGACCCTCGACTGATCACACCTCCGTGCGTGCTCGATTGTTCCTTGCATGCGGTGTGGGGTGCGAACTTGCCGTGCGGTACTCGCGGTAAGTGTCAAGCTTCTTATGATAGGTGTTAAATCTTAATTCCTCAACACTCTCTTATGCTTAAGAAATATATGTAGCTGAAGATGGAAAAAAAATCGCCCCAATTCCACCTATATATACACATGACCGAATGGAGGGAAAAAATGTGGGATGAGGTGTTGCTTTGTTGGACACTTCTTATCTCAACACTTGCTAAACTCTAATAGGTTAGAGAGTGATGAATCATCCCTAAATCCTTCTTAACTTGACACGTGCAAATGCTTCATGAAGAGGACAGCATTTGGTTTCCCAAACTTGAAGAAACTCACCGCAAATTGAGGAACAAAACAAAAATAAAATGCTACGGTTGAGAATTAATGGAACATTACATACGGCTTTATTATTTGTAAATTGTGATTAATTACTAATTAATCACAATTAAATGCTTAATTAAATAATTAAGCATAATACTTAATTACCAAAATTATTCCGAATGTAACCGGAACGTCGAAAATAATTTCGGGTAATCTCGACTGAAAATAATTAATTCTGAAAATAATAATCGACAACGTTATTATATCGGAACTAAAACATGATTTATAAACTGACGGGATATTACAGAATAAGGGGAACATTACGCTTCCGGAGCCGTCGAACCTGTCGGTCCAATACGGCTACCGGTCGCTCCTCATAAGACAAATCGGGATTGATCTCAACATCGATATGCGGAATAACATGATCGGGATCGCACACGTATTTACGCAACATGGATACATGAAAGACATTATGAACACTGGATAACTCGGTAAGGCTAACTGATACGCGACTGCGCCTACTCGCTTGAGAACTTCGAACGGGCCTATGAACTGAGGGTGTAACTTCCCTCTCTTCCCAAACCGAATAACTCCGCGAATAGGGCTAACTCTGAGAAAAGCTCGTTCTCCGACTTCGAACTGAATGTCACGTCTATGCTTGTCGGCCGACGATTTCTGCCGACTCTGCGCTGTTCTAAGCCTCCGTCTAATAAGCTCGACTTGCTCAGCTGTCTCCTCGATCAATTTCGGACCGAGTACTCGACGTTCGCCAACATCGTCCCAATAAAGGGGCGAGCGGCATTTACGCCCGTATAGTGCCTCGAAAGAAGCCATTTGAATCGATGCCTGATAACTGTTGTTATAGGCGAACTCAACTAACGATAAAATCGACTCCCACTTAGCACCTCTGTCTAACATCAACAGTCTGAGCATATCCTCGAGCATTTGAATAATTCTTTCTGTCTGACCATCTGTCTCTGGATGGTAAGCCGAACTGAACTGTAACTGCGTGCCCATCGCTTTGTGTAAACTCTTCCAGAATCTGCTAGTGAATCTGGAATCTCGATCTGATACAATGTGAGCGGGCACTCCGTGGAGTCGAACGATCCCACGGGTATAAATCTCGGCTAACTTCTCCATTGACATGGTCATCGATACAGGTAGGAAATGTGCGACTTTCGTCAATCTGTCCACTACTACCCAAATCGCATCGTGGTGTTCGGACGACTTGGGCAGCCCTGTAACGAAATCCATGGAAATCTCCTCCCACTTCCACTTTGGAATCTCAAGTGGTCGTAGAAGGCCTAAGGGGCTCTTATGTTCGGCCTTAACCTGCTGACAGACCAAACACTTGTTTACGAAATTGGCAACATCCTTCTTCATTCCCCTCCACCAAAAAGATCCTTTCAGGTCATGATACATCTTGGAGCTACCGGGGTGAGCTAGATAAGGCGCGGTGTGTGCCTCTGTCAAGATCTCCTTCTGCAAGGCCTCGACCTTCGACACTACAATCTTGCCTCGGAACTCTAAGGCGCCATTTGCGCCTCGAGAAAAACCCTCGACTCCTCCGCATGAAGCTTGGCCTCAATAGCATGAATAAACTGATCATGAGCCTGCTCTTGCCGGATTATGTCTCTCAACGTAGGCTGAATTTGCATCGAGCTAACACTCCCTGTAATCACTGCAGGAAGCGACTCGACGACTTGAATCTGCATCCGGGGCAAAGTCTTGGATAAGATAACGCTGCTGAGTAATAGAACAAGATAATTCGCCTTTCACCTTTCGGCTCAAGGCATCAGCTACAACATTTGCTTTCCCCGGATGATACTGAATCGTGCAGTCATAATCTTTAACAAGCTCTAACCAACGCCTCTGACGTATGTTGAGCTCTTTTTGCGTGAAAATATACTGCAGACTCTTGTGATCGGTGTAGATCTCACATCGACCACCATAAAGATAATGCCGCCATATCTTAAGTGCGTGTATTACTGCAGCTAACTCCAGGTCATGGGTAGGATAATTCTGTTCATGGGACTTCAACTGACGTGTAGCATATGCTACAACCTGGCCGTCCTGCATAAGTACACACCCCAAACCTCGCTTCGAATCATCACTATAGATGGTGAAACTCCGAGAAGGACCAGGAATAGTCAGCACTGGTGCCGTCGTAAGTCTTCTTTTCAGCTCCTGAAAACTCGACTCACAACGATCTGTCCACTCAAACTTCACAGACTTCATCGTCAACTGGGACAAAGGGAGGGCAATCTTCGAGAACCCCTCAATAAATCTGTGATAATAACCTGCAAGGCCGAGGAAACTACGAACCTCGGACGGATTCTTTGGTGCTGACCAGTTCTGTACTGCGGCAATTTTGGAAGGATCTACTTCAATACCTGCTTGAGTGATAATGTGGCCAAGAAAAGCCACTCGCTGAAGCCAAAATTTGCATTTAGAAAACTTTGCATATAATCTTTCACGTCTAAGGGTCTCAAGAACGGCCCTCAGATGCTCTTCATGCTCCTTCTGGCTTTTGGAATAGATAAGGATATCATCAATGAATACAATAACGAACTGATCGAGAAAAGGATGAAATACACGGTTCATCAAGTCCATGAATACTGTCGGGGCATTACTGAGGCCAAACGGCATAACCACAAACTCGAAGTGATCGTATCTCGTACGAAAGGCTGTCTTAGGTAAATCTGACTCTTTGATTTTCAGGTGATGGTAGCCTGAACGCAAATCAATTTTAGAAAACACACAGGCACCTCTCAACTGATCAAATAAATCATCGATCCTGGGAAGCGGATACTTGTTCTTGATCGTCAACCGGTTAAGATCCCGGTAGTCGATACACATACGCATAGATCTGTCCTTCTTCTTGACAAAGAGAACGGGTGCTCCCCAAGGTGAGACGCTCGGTTGAATAAAACCGAGATTCAGCAACTCTTGAATTTGGGTCTTTAACTCCTGTAATTCCTTAGGTGCCATTCGATACGGCGCCTTAGAGATGGATCCGGCTCCAAGGATAAGATCGATAGAAAATTCCACCTGTCGGCTGGGTGGACCGCCGGGAAGCTGATCTGGGAACACGTCCACG